CTCCCCCAGATCCCTCAGTGCTGGCTCAGCCCGACTCTTCAACCCCTCCAGGGATCCCGGGGACTCCCCCCTGCCCTGGGCAGCCCATTCCAACGCCCAACAGCCCCTTCTGCACAGAAATCCTTCCTCAGAGCCAGCCTGACCCTGCCCTGGGCAGCTTGAGGCCATTCCCTCGGGGCCTGGCGCTGGGGCCTTGGCTCCAGAGACTCACCCCCCCTCTGCCCCCTCCTGGCAGGGAGTTGCCGAGGGCCAGGAGGTCTCCCCTCAGCCTCCTCTTCTCCAGACTGAACCCCCCCAGTTCCCCCAGCCGCTCCCCAGCAGACCTGTGCTCCAGACCCTGCCCCAGCTCCGTTGCCCTTCTCTGGCCACGCTCGAGTCACTCAATGGCCTTTTTGGGGTGAGGGGCCCAGAACTGAACCCACTCACCGAGGGGTGGCCTCCCCAGTGCCAAGCACAGGGATAAGACCCGTCCGTGTCCCCGCTGGCCACGCCAGTGCTGATGCTTCCAGGAGCTAGGCTTGGTCACTGGGGCCGCTGGCATTACAAATTCGTGTTTAACATCAGAACATAAAGCTTAACGTAAAGCTTGGTCTTCCAGCGGGCGCCGGAGCTCTCGGCTGCGGTGCAGCACATGAGCACAAACCACTTCGGTGCTGGAGTCCTGCTTGGGTGCAGGCATGGGGTGCAAGTATGGATCCCTCGGGCAATGTGCCCGTGCTTAGGGCCAACTGGTCACCCCGCTTGCGTGGGGAAGTGAGTTGTACCCCTGCACGCCACCCCGACCCATGGGGTGCACTCTGGGCTGCTCCCCTGCCCCAACAGCAGTACCTTTGGGTCACTGATGACCCCTCCGGGGAGCATCCCAGCAAATCCACCAGCCCCACTCTCCAGAGAGGTGCCGCCACCCAGCTCCTGTGAGCCAGGAGCTGGCACTGGTCTGTCTGGGAGCAACACCTCCGCTGGTTCATCCTCCCTCTCTGCTCGAGCACCCCCAGCCCCTCGCCGGGCTCTCCCAGCACCCACCGCTGCCGTTTAGCAAGCTAAATTTGGAACAGAAATGTTTCCACAGGGCTCTGCTGCAGGGTGATGCTTGAAACAAATATCTGCCCTTGATTTTCCAGCTGGCTGATCAAAAGCCTCGCGCTGGGCACAAAGCCCTCGCAGCCCCTCAGAGCACCGACAGCTCACCAGCCATGGGCCGGGGGCTCGTCCCGGCTGCCTCAGTGCAAATCCAGTGTGTGAGGAGGGAAATGCTCCACGTGAGCATGGGAAAGAGCAGGTGGGAGCAGCTTCAGGAAGGGTGGCCCATGCTGACCACCCCTGGGACAACCGTGGCGGCGGTGGAACGCGGAGGGACGTCTTCGGCTGCGTGCCTGGGGTGGCTGCTCTCCCTTTCTTCGTGGCACTGCTGGCTCGTGTGTCACAGGGAGCCCAGCCCTGGCTGGGAATGGCTGGAGACGACCAGCAAAGGACCAGAGATGGACGTGGCAGAGAGGACACCAGGCGTGGCCAGGCTGGGGCCGGTGCTTGCTCCCTCCAGCTTTACCCTCCAAAAATGCCCCCGGATTTGAGGCAGGAGATGTGCCTTCGCACGAGGATGCAGACGAGGTGAAGCGGACGGGGCTGCCCTCGACCTGCACCTTGGCCTGACCCTGAGGCTCCACCAGTGCGGCCAGGAGAGGGAGGAGGAGGAAGATGAGGAGGAGGAGGGAGGCACAGCGCCCTGGCAAGCCAGAGCCGCGCATCACGCTAAGCTAAACCAGCGCTGGTTTTAGGAGCAGCATTCCCTCTGGAATGATTTCCCGTGGCAGAGCCTCCACAGCTGCCTGGTTAAACCATCCCCTGATTAATTACCGCTGCCATTAAAATCTGCCCGCTCCCGCCAGACAGCCTGGGGAAGCAGTGGGCACTTCGGAGGGGAGCAGGGGAGCAAGGCGGGTGCTCAGCGCCCGTCCCCCGAGGCTCCGCCAGCCCCACGGGCACGTTGGGCTCAGGGGATTTCTCAATCTGGAGAATTTCTCCATCCTGCTCCGGAGCTGCCGAACATCTCGTGCGGTGGCACCATGTCCCCTCCAGCTGCCAGCTCTGCGCTGGCTCAGGAACCGCTGCCCTTGCTGAGCCATCCCACGCGAGATTAAAAACGGGAAAGACCATATTCCCAGACCGCTAAAGCCAGCGATGCCCAAGCCCAGCATCCCTCCCCGTCCCTCGCAGCCCCCGCTGTGCCCGGGCACCGGCAGAGGTTAATGGTGGTGGACACGTTGCATATGGCTGGGGCCGGGAGCGCTGCTTGGGGGTTTTATGGTGACCGACAGCTCGGGCTCGTGAACCATCTGGTGAGGATTCGCTAAATGTCACTTTGCATTAATGGAGCCACGCGGCCACATGCACCTCAGAAACGCTCCCGGAGACTCCTCAGCGCAGGGGCACGACAGGGAAACCCCCTTTCGTCCCATTTTAGCATGAGAAAGTCCCTAAAGCACCACATGACATTTTTCCTCCGTCTTCCAAGCCTGGACTGTGAATCTTGTCCAGAGTGAACAGGAGCACAGACCCGCTGTGGGGCTGGTGGCCGAGGAGGAGCAGCCCAGGGCGGGGGGACCAAGCCCAGCTCAGCCCGTGAAACCCCCAATTTTGCACAGGGTTGGGGGTTCCTGCTTCTCTCCTGCTCCATCAAGGCTCCAGGGAGCTGTGGCTCCCAGCCCGGGTTGCCCAGGGGATTGCAAGCTCCCGAGCAAGCTCGGCTTTGGGGCACAGACTTCCTCACAGAAATCAGCCTTCACAGGCATCGGGGCTCCCCACGGGCGCGCACCCCCCATCCTGGAGCTCAGGAGAGGGGACTGAGCAGAGAAGAGCCCGGCAGCATCCCAACACCTCTCCAGCAGTTCCCGCTCCCAATTCCCTTCCAAATTTCCTCGAGGGGCCGATGCTGTCCTGTACACCCAGGCACCCCGCACGCCGCTGCGCGGGGCTGGAGCTCGGAGCTGGATTGCTCCTTCTCGCCAGCCCACGTTAGTCACAACAACACATTGTAATGGCTTTCACAGCAGCTGAAGGCATGAGATGCTCCTTCGCTGGGGGCAGGGGGCTGCAGAGCCAGCAGAGAGGGGACCAGGAGGGTGTTTGGGTGACATTTGCTGCCACTGGGTGCTCGTGGGTGCCAGTGAGGGAGGCGATGAGCCGAATAACCACTGGGATGTGAAAAGCCCTGATGGGCAGCTCTCAGGCACCCAAATTCAGAGCGGGCGGGCAAGTCTGTCTGCACACAGCTGCCTTCGGGATAAATAGATGACATTTTAAAAATCAATGAGATCTACTATATTCGCTTATCCTTGTTCATTAATAATGGTCCCACTCGACAATACACCCCACAGCCCAGGCAGCGGCCAGACAGGGATGTCCTGGCTTGAAAGGTCAAACCCCAGCCCTGCCTGCACCCACGCCTGCCCGCACTTCAGTGCCTGCCAGGCAACGGCAGCCAGCCCCTGCCTGAACACCCCAGCAATGCAAGTAACAGGTCACAAATCTGGTTTTAACGTTCATTGGGACCCACAAAATTAATACTGAATTTGGCCCACGGCACAGCCAAAGGATGGGACGACGAAGGGGTGCAGCCTCTCCCCAGCCGGCACCCCCAGAAGTGTCTGTCCCAGCAAGGTGTGACTCAGAGCTTGATGATGCACAACTTGGGAAGAGTGAAAATGGAAAAAGGAAAGCGGATTACGGGCACTTGGGGAGGGAGGAAGGAGGGGAAGGAGGGAGAAGGTCTTTCTGGGAACACTCTCTGGAGCAGCGGTCTCCAAAGCGGGGTGCTGCGCCCCAGGGGATGCGCAGGGCAGCCTGTTGGGGCGCGGGAAGGAAATCTTAGCGCTCGAGTAGCACGGGCATATGGTTTATAAATAAATAAACATATTTACTGGGGGCGCGTGCTCACAAATTTGTCCCTGGTAGGGGTGCACGACAAAACCAGAGACCACTGCCCCGGTGCAGAAGGCTTTCCCCGGGAGAGGCCATGAGGAGGGACCCCCACCCAGACACGTGTCCCCCCAACCCTTACCTCTGTCCTCCTCCTTCTCGCGGCCGCTCCTGCCCCTGAGTGCCCGGCTCCGGGTGCTGCCATAGTCTCCGGCTTTGCCCCTCTCCGCCGGTTCCTTGGAGGTGCTTTTGAACCAGGGTCCGTGCCGCCGTCCCCCCTCCGGCATCGTCGCCGCCGCCTTGAAGCCGCGGCTCAGCTGCATCACCCCCAGGTAGGGCAGCCCTGGCCCCTCGCCAGCCCCGGGGCTGCGCTGGCTCCCCGTCACCGTGGGCTCCCCGGTGAAGCCCGAGTGCAGGAAAACCAAACTGCCGGCCGCCAGGTAGAGAGCCAGCAGCGTGAAGAAACGCACGGGTTTTCGCCGAAAATACCGCTGGAGTTTTACCAATAATTTGGCCATAGCGTCTTCATCCCTTCCCCGGCAGCAGGGGAGCTGCTCTCCGGCCCCAGGAATGCCCCGAGGAGGGGTCTTGCCACCCTCCCCGGGATAGAGGCGGCTCCTGGGGTGTCCTGGGGGAGCAGACAGGTTCCCCAAAAGCGTGGCGGGGGCTGCAGGGTGAGGCCGTGCAAAGCTATTGCCCGATCCTAAAAAGTCTGGGAGAGCTGGGGAAGGCGGCGGGGTCGGATTTGGAGCCCCCCCCTCCGCCGTGCACAGGGGGTTCCTCCAGCGCTGGCTGTCGCCGTCGTCCCCGGTTTATTCTCCTGCCGGCAAAGCCCCCCGGTCGTGCCCCGGAGACTCGGCTGATGGAGGGATCATGTTAAGGAAATCGAGGGTTTGAAGGTGATTTGAAAGCCGATCAGCTGACACAGCTCTTCTTGCTCGCCTTTCCGCTCGGCGGCACCGGCTCTCGCAAGCATCTCTCTAATGGAAACGGCACCGTCGCCCTTTCAGACAAAGAATGAAAAGTCCCTGGACGCGTCTCGGGGCCTGAAACGCTGACTGGGACCCTTTGTCTAAGGAAGCCCCATTCATCTCACTCCCAGGGCAAGAAATCTCCACCTGCAATCAAAGAGAAAGGCACGCTTAGGAAAGGGAGGATCGCAGCCCCCGGCCCAGACACCGGGGTTCTCCTTCGCCTTTCGGCCCCGCACAGGGCCGGTTCAACCCCCCCCGGCACGAGGATGCGGGACAGGAGGGAGATGTCGGGGTGACGGGAGCCGTGACGGGGATGTGGGGGTGAGTCCTGACTCCTGAGCCCCACGTCTCTGCCTTGTCATGCAAGAGAGGGGCTGCAGGATGGTGCTGGGGCACGAGGCGGATTTCTGATTTCACCCGATTTCACCCGATTTCACCCGCAAGAGCTCTGCACGCACGCATCCACCCGTTCGTGCGTGCACGCACACTCCTGCACCCGCATTTCACCCCTAGATCTGAAGGTTTCTGGGCACCAGCCGGCCCCAAGCGAAGCCCCCGAGCCCTGCGAGACGGGTGGGCAGCGGGGCACGAGGCTGCAACAAGCTGCTGCTCCCACCCAGGCACCCCACAATGCTGGGATGCCCCTCGCGAGCCTGATGTCCCCACATTGTCCCCAGCGTGGCTCTCCCGTGGCTGCCCAACATGCCCCCAGAGAGGTTTTTACAGACATTGAGGCCGTGGCATCCTCTATTCTCCAGCTGTCACTCACACCCTGTCAGCCGGATCAACACGGAGCTGCCTCGGGAACGCCGAGGGGCTACCGCGGCCATCCCTGGTGGCCCTCAGCATGGGGAGACAGCCAAGCTTTTCCCTCTGGGGGGAGGATTTCTCTCCTCCAAACCCCCCCACCAGCTATAGAGGATTCTCCCCAACCCTGCCCAGGATAACGCCATGCCAGGCTCCGTGGTGGCTTCACGGTGGGAAATGCCACCGTCCCCGCGTTTGCCCCCGTGCCTGGGGGTGCTGCCTGTCATGGGCTCGTCTTACTTTAGGAAAGGAGACTAAAATAAATGGAAAGACAAAGTGCCATTAGTTTAATGGCCTCTATGTTCTTGCCATCTGTCTTCAGTTGATTAAATAAAAAATATTGGCGGAACATATGGCATGAATTATACATAAATATTTTAATTTGGGTTCCCAGAGTGGTTATTCAAATACCTCTGGCTCCGCCGGGTGAACTTTTGAGGAGCTCAGGGCTGGGCAGGCTGCATGGGGCAGATCGCTGGTGGGGCCTGAGCCCCTCAGGCTCCCCCAAACAGCCCCTTCCCCAGCCACGCTTGGGGCCTACACACCCTGAGTAAACGCTGAGTAAACTCAGAGTAGCGGCCAAGCAAGAAGACTAGCTTGCTCTTCAGGCTTTTGCATCTGCAGGCACCTCTGTGGCAGGACGAAGGCACAGGCAGGACCCCGGCACAGCCAGGGCGGGTGGTCCGGCCCCCGCCACGGTGGGCGAGCAGCCCCCCAGCCCGGCGGTCCCAGGGCCACTCTCCCAGGCTCCCTGGCCAGTGGCCAGCAGGGAAGGGCCGCTCCGTGGGAACTCACAGCTTCTCCTCCCATGCCGGCACAAGCTGCTGTTTGGCGCTTCAACCCACTTTCCTGGGGCTTTATAAGGGCGCCGAGTACAGGGTAGTTTGGGGTGCAAACTGGTCCCCAGTATCCCCTACTGCCACCCGCCCTCCTCCCTGCCTGAGCTTGGTCCTGCCGGGCTATGGCAAGGAAGCATGGCATATAAAGTAGGGGCTTAAATTACTATCATTAAGCCATCTGGAGCTCATCCTTCTCCATCATGAACTGTGGAGTCGCAGGTCAATTACTTCACATTTGCATATATTCCATTAATGCTTCTGCTAATTGTCTGGAGGAGATAATGCGCTCGGCTTACGGCTCCCTCGTTGGCTATGGCTTACAAACAGCGAGCGCGGCAAACGCAGCCAGCGCCAGTGCTCCCAGTATGAGCGGGGACTTGGGACATCGTGGTGGGGGGTGTGACTGGGGGGGCCTCACCCTGCTGATAGCCATCAGGATGGGGGATGCTGGCCGCACCCCACAACGCTGCCCCGTGCACCCCGCCAGCCCTCCCTTGTCTTGGAAGGACGGATCCATGCCCCCGGTGGGAAGGACAGGCCACCTCGGCGGGACCCCACGGGTCCCCAAAATCCCCCACCGCCTGCAACGGCGAGTGTCCCCCAGGGGTCGCATCCTGCCCCCCCCCTGCTGCCTGCCCCCCTGTGCCGCTCCGGCCAGGGCTGCGGGTCAGAAGCAGAGCTGGTGCCAGCCCAGCCTGCGGCACGGCTAGAGAACAGCAGTGACACACTTTACCGGCCAAGCTACCCAAGGTAACGGGGACGTTAATCAGCCAGCGCGGTGCAGCGGGCAGCACCGAAACGGAGCTTTGCCAAGAACGATCCCCCCATGGCTGGAAATGTCCCCACGGCTGGCAGCGCCGGGGCTGGGGCATCCTCCCTGCTCCCCCAGAGCCCACTGGCACCCAGAGCCAAAGCCGGGGTGGGGAATCCTTTCCCCAAGCAGGCAGGGGGGCTGCTTCCATCACCACGCTCCTGCCAAGAGCCAAAACCCTGGTGGCGGCAGCGGGATGCCCGGCCGAGCATCACTCCGCACCCTCCCTCTGCGCCGGCAGCAGCACCCAGGCCGCAGGAAGCAGGCAAGCTCTGCCCGCAGGTTTGGGGCTCTGCAATTACTTGTTGTGGGGCCAAGAAAATCCTCGTCAATTTGCAAGGTTTATCTTACACACACACACACACACACACCCACCCCGGTGCGCGGGGCGGTGGGCACAGGTCCCGAGGGGGCTCTGCCGAGCAGAGTGAGCATCTCCGCGACCGCTCGTGACCGGGATGAATGAAACGCCGATAAATTATACATTTGGGTCTTGTCTCCAAATTGCTCTGCAATTATTGAGCACCAAGGTTCAGTTGCCTTCAAGCACCACCTCACATCTGACCACGGCAAAACACGCTGAAGGGCTCACGTGGTTCCCCCAGCACAGGAGAACAATCAGCCCATTAAAAACAGCAAATTAACGAACACAAGAGTTCCATTAGGAGGAGAAGGCGACCGAACTATCCAATTTCATCACATCATTAGCATTTCTTATCAGAGGGACAGGGAAAGAATAGGGCTTTAAAATACAGAGGGATGGGATGGAGTCTAATGACCGCAACAGGGCAACGTGCCCGGGGGCACCTGTCCCGCCGGAGGGACACTGTGGGCATCAACTTGGGTCCCGTGGGGGAGAGCACAGTCCTGCACCCGCCTGAGCACCCTTGGGTGCCCAGCACAGCTTCCCCGCAAAAGGCCTCTGCTGAGGTCTGGAAACGCAGCGGCGTGCAGGACCCTGTGCTTGGCGTGGAAGATCCAGCGCTTTGCGAGCTCCCGGGGCCTGCTGTCACCCCAAAGCTACTCCTCTGATGTGGGGACCTCGTGTCTTCTCACAGAATCACTCAGGTTGGAAAAGCCCCTCGGGGTCAGCGAGTCCAACCCTCAGCCCGACTCCACAAAGTTCTCCCCTACCCCACATCCCCCCCAGCTCATCCCAACGGCCCTGAAACCCCCCCAGGGATGGGGACTCCCCCCTCCCTGGGCAGCCTGTTCCACTCTCGCACCACTCTTGCTGGGAAACATTTTCTCCTCCTGCCCAGCCTGACCCTCCCCTGGGGCAGTTTCCAGCCGTTCCCTCTTGTCCTGTCCCTGATCCCCCGGGAGCAGAGCCCAGCCCCGGCCTCTCTGCAATGTCCTGTCAGGAGCTGCAGAGAGGGATGAGGGCTCCCCTCAGCCTCCTCCTCCTCAC